GAGCATGACCTACCAAGCCAGAAGACAGTCCCCAAGTTGAGCAGGTCTGATTTAAGAGTACTTTCAAAACCCACTGGCAGAAATTGAGACACAGTAGAGTCCAGTTGTGTCACATTTGTGCTGGTTACCTATAGGACTTCTCAACAGACATGCACACCTCCCTAATAGCTTTCCTGCAGATGTAAATTTACAGTGTGCAAATTCAGCAACATTTATTCCAGAAGAGACAACGTAATAATGCTTTTTATTACATCTAAAGATGTTTTACATAAACAGGTAACATTCAGTAGGGTAAACCATTTTTTTCCAATGCATGTAATAAATATTTTCACTTGATACTTTTATACAAACTGACATTGGTCTACTATACATTTTATTTAAAAGCCACTTTTAAAACTTGTTTGGCATGCTGTATGGAAAACTAAGAGAAAGTTAAGGCAATGAATCACAGATCTGAGTTTATGGAATTAATAACTTTTTTAAGGTTTCTGCTTATTTACATATTGTTTTCCCTTTTGTTAATTAGAGCAACAAACAGCAGCACAAGCCGGGGGCCTCTGGCAGGTTCTCTCTCAATAAAAATCTAAGCTCTCATTGAAAGGAAAATAATAAAAACAAAGCAAGACATAATGTATTGTGAAAAAGAAAACACCCTAAAATGTTTAATGCAATGAAAAAGATTAACCACGTTAAAAAAACCCAAGGCCTAGCTACAAGTTCGGTGGAAGGTTTCTAAAAGTGCCTTCTTCCAGGGGAGTATGGTATATGTTTGATAGGGATAAGAAAATCTGGGAATGCAGTTATGAAAATATTGCAAGACTGCAACAAACTGCTAGTTAAGTCTTAGCAAGGTTTAATTTGGTTTTGCTTTTAGGTAAAAACAACAACAACAAACTCTGCATCGAGTAATGCCCACATAAGTGATTCAGAATCACTCTACCCCTGCTATTATACAAGGATCTTGCATCTGTGTGTACTTGTGTAGACACACACACACTCTCACTCACTCACTCACCCAAAATTTTTGTACAAAGTGAGACACACATCCAAGCAGCACACATCCCTCTACTTCTCTTTTGGAAAAACAAGGACAAAAAAAAGTGAGCCAACAAGTTATGAAATGCAAGAAGTACGCTTTCCATATTCAAATTTAACAGGATTTGTGTGTTAACTAAAAAAACACCCCTTAACTCCATGTTACTAAAAAAAAAAATCTCTGCAATTCTTAAAAATTAGTATTTTAAAGAAACTGACAGACTGCAGGTAATGCCAAAATGGAACCTTTCCCCAATTAACTATTATTGTTGGCGAAAAAACAAAACAAAGAACTTAAAACACACACACACTGGCCAGGAAATAGCTTTTCAAAAGAGGTTCCCAGAATTAAATACATCAAAAATCCCCTCCCTGGCCCAAAACCCAAGTTAAGGGAGGCCAGGAAACACTATTCCGTTTGAATTGGGAAGATTCATTGTTTTTACTTAATATGAAGGACAGGAGGAGCAGGAAAAGACATAGAAACAATGGTTTGCTACCTTAAATTTTCAAGCGCTCTCCACATTAAACATTAACTGACTGTTTTTTATGTGCCTTGTCTCATTTGTAATGCTTTTAAATTTCTCATTCCCAAACTGCAAATGCAATGCCCACCCCTTACTGCCCACCGTGGTGAGAAGTGTCATTTACCTTATCAGAGAGAGAGAGAAACATGGAAACCCGTGGGCTCAATGTAGCAGGTACCTTTTAATTTCACAATTAACTGGACTTAAAAAAAATGAACCAGTCCTAGAAGATTTCTAGTCTCACACAGTTCTAGATCTTTATCGAGCACCCACAGGCTAAGAAAGAGGATGGGCAAATTCCTCCCCCGCCCCAAAACACCATTCAGGCAAATCACACTGAAGATAATTGCACTCTCAGGCAGTTCCCGTCTACTGTAAAGCACAATATTACTTCCAGCATTCAAACACACCAAACAGCACTGAAAGCAGAGTACGGCGTTCCTTGAAGCCTGACGAATTGTTGGAAAGTCTCCTAAAATTCTGACTCGACAGTTGTTTTGTCAGATGTAGAAAAATCTCGACAGACATGCAGATAAAAACCATTTGAGTTGCAGTAGATACATTTGGTGAGTAGGGGGAAGCCTTGTGTAGATGCTGTAGCCAAGTGCACACTTATATATGCTTGCATCGCATGACAATAAATGGGTCATAAATACACTCAATTGCAGCCCATCATCTGCATGCACTTGACTGTACCACATATTCCAGGTAACAATATAGGAAGATGCCTCATACCGAGTCAGACTATTGGTCCATATAGCTCAATACTGTCAACACTGACTGGTAGCAGCTCTCCAGAGTCCCAGGCAGGGGACCTTCCCAGCTCTACATGGAGTTGCCGGAGACTGAAGCTGGAGCCATCTGCATTCAAAGCAAGCTACAAGACCCACATCATACAATGTATTTAGCAGGTGGTACCCAGACTCACGTTTAAGTGCCTGATAAAAAGCATTCACCTTAAGCTAAGAAGCAGAGCATCAGCTACAGGGTTTCATCAGAACACTTGTCAATTTTGACTCCTGCAACTACACTGTGACCAGACTTTCCAAAGTTAGCAAATCTCCGATTGTTTCAGTGTTTGGAATGATCCTTTCAGTTGCAACAAAATGGGACCACATTTTATATTAAGTTGAGCCAGTTTCATTATACTTTTAAAAAAAGAAATCAGTTTCTGATGCCTCCAAGCTAGATTGAACTTAGAAAGGATTCCTCTTTTGTGTTCCTTTTATTTAGATTTTACTGACATTTAATAAATTATAGTCGAAGGAAACATTTCAGCCAGACAGTAATGGAATTCACATGCATGAAACAGACACACTGAGACACACACACAGAAAGAGATCTATAAATACATATATACACACACATATACATATGAACAAACATTTTAAAAATTCAAGTCAGCTTTTAAAATGGCGAAGGGGACATTTGAAAACCCACTTAGAACATTTATACTGTCTCTCAATTAGTTGAAAAGAAATGATTGTTTCCTATTAAAAAGTGGTGGCTTGATATCAATGCAAAGTTTATCTTAAAAACAATTTTGAAAACAAAGCCGGGGGGACAAGATACTAACTTCTGCAGCTATGGTTTAAAGAAATCGCTAACATGGTCTTTGATAAAGTATAGCAAAAAAAGAAAAAACTATAACCAACCCTGCTACCTCCCTCCTTCCTATCCATTCCTGATTTGTTGTAAACCTAGATTTTTAAAAGCTAGCTATAAAGTATTTTCACAGCAGAGAACAGATATGCACTCCAATGAGGGCTCTGGGATACATCAACATGGCTGCTTGGCCCTCCCCTTCGTTCTCCCATGTACTATGAACAGTTTCCCTTTCTCTCTATTTACATGTTCTGTCATTTAGTAAAAAAGGAAGTGTTTAAATAATCCCCAAGTTAAAGGTAAAGGTAAAGGTACCCCTGCCCATACGGGCCAGTCTTGCCAGACTCTGGGGTTGTGCGCCCATCTCACTCAAGAGGCCGGGGGCCAGCGCTGTCCGGAGACACTTCCGGGTCACGTGGCCAGCGTGACATCGCTGCTCTGGCGAGCCAGAGCCACACACGGAAACGCCGTTTACCTTCCCGCTAGAAAGCGGTCCCTATTTATCTACTTGCACCCGGGGGTGCTTTCGAACTGCTAGGTTGGCAGGCGCTGGGACCGAGCAACGGGAGCGCACCCTGCCGCGGGGATTCGAACCGCCGACCATGCGATCGGCAAGTCCTAGGCGCTGAGGCTTTTACCCACAGCGCCACCCGCGTCCCTAAGTTACTCTTAATCCCCAAGTTACTCTTTCCTAATTAATCATACAGGTTTGATGGTAGTTGGGGGGGGGAGAGAGAGACCCACAAATACTAAAGGAGAATTAAATATAGCTTCACAAGCTCAGTCAGAAGAAGCCAAAATCATTCAATAATTATTTTGAAGCCAATAAGCAGGTAGGGGGAGTGGATCACCCTCAAGATTTTAACAAATTTTGGTAAATTTGAAGGGAAGGGGGAAGGACTTTGAACTTAAAAAAAGAGTTGTGTGGGGTTCGGCCACTAATATAGCCCAATCTGATGCAGGTTTGTTCTGAAGCACAAGTGCGTAGGATTGGAACCTATAGTTCAAATATGCTTGCAGAAAGGACTCTGCGTGCTATTTGTTATTATCCACTCCAAAATACATCTTTTTCAAATGATACCATCTCATTTAAGTCCTGATAGCACAGTACGATGTAGGAGTTTCACAAAAGAGATTTTTAAAGTCCCGGGGAAGGAAGTTTGAGTGTTAGGCCAATGTCGAATGACCTCAAGAAAGCAAGTCTTTAACACAGAACATTTAACATACAAGAAAGGATCACCGATGCCTTTATGGCAGCAGGATTTTAAGAAGCCATTTTGCCTCATGCAAAAGCGGAGAGACCTTCCAATGGTAATGCTTCAACATGCAGGAGTGTGGGTATTTCCCCCCCATGAGGAGAACTGATGAACACACAAACAGAACAATATGGTGTCTGGTGAAGGAACAAGGAAGAAGCCATACAGAAGAAAGAGCTGAAAGAACATTCCAAGAAGCCACACAACCAGTTTAGCAGTCAGAGAATGCTGTGGAATTGACATAAATTACAAAGAAAGAGAGAGGGCCTGATCCACTGGCACAAGATTAATTCATTTCAATGGTGCTTGTGCAGGAAAATATCCCCAGAGGATTGTGCCCTAAGGAGGAAAACCATTCCCTCCAGTTATTGTGGGTGCCATCTGTCTTCCCTGGAACTAGAAGCCTCCCAGAACTTTTCAAAGCTTCAATCACTCCATTACTTTTCCATTAATATCACTGTGAAGAAACAAAGTGATGCAGTTAAAAATCAAAGCCTTAAAACAAACGAACACTCGAGACAGAAAGGTTGGTGTAAAATCTTCCGTATCCAAAAATCTAGGTTGGGAGCTTTTGTCATTTTTTTTACCAGTCAAACCATATTTTGTTTATATACAAAAGTACAACTGAAAATATAGTTTTGTTCTCTGTACATATCTTAATATTTTTTCCCTACAAAAAGGAAAAGCTCGTCTGCATTTCTAAACAAAATAAGATAAAACAAAACCCCAGATCTCTCCTCTAGCTAGTCCAGTGAAAACTCAACAAGATTCAGTCCAAGGAAATGATATCCGGCATGACGCCAAAGAGAGAGGCTGGGTCTGTGTTACTTCTGTTGGCCACGGGGTGGCCATGGGTCTCTCGCAGGCTGTTGGAGGACACCAGGCTGCTGTTGCTGCCGCTGTTGCTGCCGTTAGTGGCTGGAAGGGTGGCACTCCCTCCTGCGTTCAACTGATCCAGGAACATCTGAGACGAAGCATAGGGGAAAAACCGGGAGTGCAAAAGTTCTGGGTCATCTGAAGCAGACACGGCGGCGGCTGCAGCGGCCAGAAGAGAAGTGCTATAATGCTGGAGATGTGAAGGAGGACAAAGGGCAGCTGTGAGGCACTGGAGAGCAGATTTTAATAAACGGTACTCATGCATGTTTTTGCTACTACTCCACTGTTTTTATTTCACGCCCTTCACCGTAAGGGTGGGTTGCAGCAATATGCTCACACAATGATAAAGACAAGTAAAACCCGTTCCAAGCAAAACCAGCACAGTATAGATAAAACAAAAGAGGTGGGTTCACAAGGGTTAAAAGGCCAGGGGGCTACAGGCCAATGAAGAGGGGATTCCAAGTACCGTATTTTTCGCACGATTGGACGCACCGGACCATAGGACGCACCTAGTTTTTTGGGGGGGAAATAAAGGGGGAAAAATTCCCTTTATTTTCCCCCCAAAAGCAGGTCAGGGAAACCGAATCAGGTCGAGGAACAGCGGGATAGTGGCGCTGCGCCTCCCTGCTGTTCCCCGAGCTTGTGGGGCTGGCTGATGTCTGCCTGGCGCGCGGGGCGCTCTGCTTCAGCGAGCCCCACCCGCCAGGCAGCAGGCTGCTATCCGCAGCTTGGGGAGCCTTGCGGGGAACTCCTGCAGGGCTCCCCACGCTGCGGATGTATGCCCGCCGCAAGGGGCGCTCTGCTTCAGGGCGCCCCACCTGCCGGGCGGCAGGCTGCTATCCGCAGCGTGGGGAGCCTTGCGGGGAACTCTTGCAGGGCTCCCCACGCTGCGGATGTCTGCCCGGCGCGAGGGGTACTCTGCTTCAGGGCGCCCCTCGCGCCGGGTGGCAGGCTGCTATCCGCAGCGTGGGGAGCCCTGCGGGGAACTCCTGCAAAGCTCCCCACGCTGCGGATGTCTGCCCGGCGCGAGGGGTGCTCTGCTTCAGGGCGCTCCTCGCGCCGGGCGGCAGGCTGCTATCCGCAGCGTGGGGAGCCCTGCGGGGAACTCCTGCAAGGCTCCCCACGCTGCGGATGTGTTCCCAAAGCGCCAGGCGCTCTGCTTTCAGGGCGCCCGACGCTCCGGGAAGCAGGCTGCTATCCGCAGCGTGGGGAGCCCTGTGGGGAATTCCTGCAGGGCTCCACACGCTGTGGATGTCTGCCCGGCGCGAGGGGCGCTCTGCTTCAGGGCGCCCTTCTCGCCGGGCGGCAGGCTGCTATCTGCAGCGTTGGGAGCCCTGCGGGGAACTCCTGCAAGGGTCCCCATGCTGCGGATGTATGCCTGCCACGAGGGGCGCTCTGCTTCAGGGCGCCTCACCCGCCGGGCGGCAGGCTGCTATCCACAGCTTGGGGAGCCTTGCGGGGAACTCCTGCAGGGCTCTGCACGCTGCGGATGTCTGCCCAGCGCGAGGGGCACTCTGCTTCAGGGCGCCCCTCACGCCGGGCGGCAGGCTGCTATCTGCAGCATGGGGAGCCCTGCGGGGAACTCCTGCAAGGGTCCCCACGCTGCGGATGTGTTCCCGAAGCGCCGGGTGCTCTGCTTTCAGGGCGCCCGACGCTCCGGGAAGCAGGCTGCTATCCGCAGCCTAGACACGGCTAGCGGAGCGCTAATCCCGAAGCTTGGGGCGTGCGGAGCTCAGCGCGCCCCAAGCTTCTGGGTGCCGGCAAGGTCTCCGCTAGACGGCTAGCAGAGACCTTGCCGGCACCCAGAAGCTTGGGGCGCGCTGAGCTCCGCACGCCCCAAGCTTCAGGATTAATGCAGCGCTCCGCTAGCCGTGGGAGAGCTGGGTCTCCCACGGCTAGCGGATAGCTTCCTGAAGCCTGGAGAGCGAGAGGGTCGGTGCGCGCCGACCCCTCTCACTCTCCAGGCTTCAGCGAAAGCCTGCATTCGCTCCATAGGACGCACACACATTTTCCCTTGCTTTTTAGGAGGGAAAAATTGCGTCCTATGGTGCGAAAAATACGGTACTTATGGGCAGCTCAGTTTCTTTCCAGAACTGCCACTGTTACAGGTGCCATGTAATAATACCTGCTCCACATTTGTAAGAAACCTGTATTTTAATATAGCAGCACCTACACATTGGAACTCCCTGCCGACTGACATCAGGCCGGTGCCCTCACTGTATTCTTTTTGGCACCCGCTAAAAACATTTTTGTTTTGGCAAGTCTACCCAGACATGTAGGATGTTAGTGCATGTTTTAAACTGGTTTCTGATTGTTGCCAATTTGTTTTATTTTTGAACGTTTTAAACTGCTTTTACTATTGTAAACCGCTTTGATACAATTTATGCACTCAAGCTGTGTATAATTTTTTTGAAATAATAATAAATAATAAATAAAAGGGTCATCAAAACTCCTGCATGCATGTTGGGTTTGTTGGGTGCAGTAACTGGACACAGAACTAAGTGCCCCAAGAATACTGGTTTTCTGCAGTCATGCTCTAGGAAAAAGGTCAGGCTCAAGGTTTCACTGAGAGGATTACTGAAATCAGAGGAGGCAGTATAATGGGGAGGAAGTGAGACCTTGACTGTGGGGAGAAGCCCCACTTCCTATTTACTGGACTTTACTGGCAAAATGCACACAGAGTCCTTTAGCATTTCCTCAAAGAAGAAAAAGACCTGAATGCTTTTTAAAAAAACAAGTTAAATGTTCAGTTTTAAGCAATACTTTTGCAGTGCAATCCCAGTTGTGCAGGCTTGCTCCCCTCAGTGATGGAAATCAATACTAGAATAATGTATTCTGGCAAAGATATTCTAGCACATCAAAAATAATTTATAATACTGCCTGGTGGTTTCAGCCACTTGACATTTTCAATTTGGGATACTGTATTAAGAAGAAATTCTCCCTATATTGGATCAAAACTACTCCCCTTTGTGACTGTTCTAGAATCATTTCCTGCCTCCCATTAGCAGCTTACCTGATTGTCTCCTGGTAAGAAAGAGAAGAAATCCAGTCCTATGAAAAAGGCAAAATGAAACAGGTTCATTTTCTCAAAACACACACCCCAAAATCAAACAGCTTTAAGCAGAATATAGCACAGATCCTCATCACTCTTGCTTAGCCTCCAGCCTTCCTCAAACAGTGCTTCTCTTAAACTAACCTGCGCAAAATTATGTCAGGAAAAAGAAAAACATGTTAAGTATGTTGGGTTTTTTGCTATAAACCTTTGGTGACAGGCCTTGTGAAGCCATGAAAAGGGGCCGAACCTTGTAGGGCCCATGCTCTGCACATCTTAGATTGTGGGCTCAACCCCCAACACTATCAATTTAAAAGGACAGTAGTAACAATGTTGTGAAAGGCTCCATCACTCAAGGCAAATACCTCACACTCAGTAATGTGGTGGCTGCTTCTCTACTACTAATTAAAGTAACTAATTCGGTTTATTCCACCCAAAGCAGCCCAGGGCAGCAAACATATCAATAATATGAAATATGTTTAAAAGCTTTCTGAAAACAACTGAAACGTTCTTAAACAGTTAAAATATCCAAACAGTAATTTCAGGTATTACTATTAGCTATGACGTTTGTCCTGTCAGAAACCTACCTTGGAGGTCATAAGGCATGGGTGTCATATGGAACGGGTGCCTGTAGTCTTGTATAAGTGACGTGTTGATGTAGCTTGTGTCAACGGCCGGAAGGCTCGGGGTTCTTGAAACAGGAGAGACTTGATGCGGCATACTTGAAATGCTAAGAAGCAGAAGCAGAAGCCTGAGTTTAGAAGATGGGGCCTGCAGACTCCTCCCTGCAGTATCCCAACAGACAGAACCTGGGGTTCAGAGCTGGGCATCTGTGGTCTTTCCTAAAAGACAGCTCCTTTCACTTCATGCTTTCTGACAAATGTTTGATGCAGCTAGATTTTTCATATATACTACTGCCACTAATAACCCTGAGGTTCTCTTGCAAAGTCCTTTTCACCCTGCCTTTTGCTTTTGCACCTCCTGCTTGCCATCCTGATGCCCACAATTCAGAACGTAAAAACATAAGAAGGGCCTGCTGGATCAGGCCAATGGCTCACCCACCTTGTCCAGCATCCTGTTGATGTATGTAACCCTCATGAATAATTTCTGCAGCACAGGCCTCTGCCGAACATTAACCGCAGGGAGGGGGAGAACCTAAGAGCTCTTTCACGTGCTTGTTTCCAGAACTGGGGCTGGTGAAGGATTTGGTCACCTGGGGGCAATTTTTATTCACCAGAAAGGGACAGGTGAGCAAGCAATGGCAAGCTCTTATGCACAGCTCTTAAATGAAATACTTGAAGATATCTGAGAGCACCTCTGAAGGCTTGGGGTTCAAATCTCACTTGGTTTTATACTCCCAGCCTCCTTTAAGTATTCCGGCAACTGGAAATGGGCACTGTAATTTCAGCAAGGTAGGGGTAGAGGCAGGGAGTGAACTAGTTCAGACTTCCTGTTTATGGAAACTCAAGACAAAAAGTCACACATAACAGAAACCACCCCCTCCCTCATGCAACTTAGCCATAAAAGACTCTGTACAGTTAGTTCATCATTAAAGGCAATTTTTTGAAGAATGGTATTTCCACGCTTCCCAAAACAAAATATATTGTTATATTAAATACACTCATGCCAATACCCTATTGTATTTTGATTAGCTAATCACCTTGGTTACCATGTCAGAGGTGTCATCTAGCTTCCACAATTGCCCCAATACTTGTTATAGGTCCAGAAACTGTACTGCCTCAGGGAAATTCTCATTTATTATTTGTTGTAAAAATGCATTGGATACAGTCTTTTTGCCAGAACCGTAACAACTTTCTTTCTTATGGGAAAAAGAAGCAACAGAAGGGCCACATTTGCTATTAAAATGCCACTGACTGCATTCCATGTTAGTCATAATCAGAACACGCCTATTGAAATTAATGGATCTGACTGACCGAGGTCCATTAATTTCAGAGAGTCTTCTCGGAACATAACTTCAGCTGAATACAATCCAATGCTTTTAAGTTGAAAGGTTTTGATGGCTTACAAGTTCCATGAAATGAAACAGTGAGCTCTGCCTACACAGCATCACATCGAGGGCTCTGAGCTGCAGCCCACCACTTCCCAAGGCAGCTAAGTGTCTCCTCACCTCTTATTGTTAATGGGTGATGCAGGAGACAGGGAAGGGCAGCTCCTCTTGGCCGATGGCTCCTCCTCTTCTTCATCCGATGAGCTGTCAATGGTTAAGTCAATCACCTCAACTTTCTTATTTTTGCTTGACTGATGAGAGGACACTTGATGATCCACAGAAGAACTTAAGCAACCTAGAAAGAGACCAGTCCAGTGCTGAAGTCCCAATTGGTAATTGCAACGTGTGTGTGTGTTAAAATACAGTTAAACAGCCATATGATGCTGGGGGCTGAAAGGAGTTGTAATCCAAAACATCTGGAGGTCTCCAAATCAACCCAAAGCTGATCTAGATAATCAACCTGTTCCAGAACAGTGTGCCTCAAGAGGACTTGATAGCATTGTAAGGTCTGCACTAAGGAATTACACACTTACAAAGCACCAAAATCATGAGCCAGAACAAAGAGGAGAAAATGAAAAAGTCAGAAAGCGGGAGCAACAGTTTAGCAAGTCGACTTCAGTAACTCACCTTCCACTCCATTAAAAGATGCCGTCACCTCTTGTGCCTCTTTTTTTGATCTCATAGGAGCCCAGGTTCCGTCTTCCTTAAACTGAATTTCATCACAATCTGTGCAGTATTTCAAGATTTCCATAAACAACCTATTAAAAAAGAGCCTCCTTAGAAACTCACCCAGAAAGCATGGAGGAATTTGCACATAAGGAACATTCATGCTTCTGAAATCCATCAGAGGTGGCAAAAAACACACAAGCACAACTTCAGTGGTTTCAGACCTTTACAAAAAGGGCAAATATATTTCCAGGCACATTACTTGCTTCACTATACCCAGCTTTTACTGGCTTCCAAAAAGTACTTACCCATCAATTATTAGGTGTTCGTAAGGAGCTTTGTTGTCGCACACAGGGCAAACCCAGGTGGGTTTCTTCTCATTCATTTGAATATACAAAGTTGCATCAAAGCACTGCAGATGTGAACAAGTCAGGGACCTGCAGGGTATCGCCAGCCGCATTTTACCAAGCTATTAAAATAAAAAGCGAAAGCATTCTTTTTATGCCTTGATTTACAAAAAAGAACAAAGGACTCTGCTTAAGAGAGATGCATTTTTAAATCATGTAACTCCAGGTAAGTCAAGCAAGAGATTCAGGTTACACATAAGAGTGGAAGGCACACTCTCCTTCCACTGTCTGCATGAGCAGCAATCAGTCCACCTCCCCAATATGATCTTCCCAGTGGAGTCTCTTTGATCAACACCTCTGGTGTAAATATTGCCCAATATCTCAAGTCACAATTTGGTCCAAGTCCTATTTTAAAAACCATACACTACAGAACCATTTTCACAGCCTCGGAGTTCACAGGTTTCATCTCTGTGATTGTGTGCTCTGATTGAGAAAAATACCTCTCACCTCTGTAAAGCAACTTACAGAATTATCACTGTCACATTCAGCATGACGAAGGACAGCCTCTGATACATCTAAGCTAAATTATCTGTCCCATTTACAAGTCAAGGACTGGCAATGATGCCCCACTATCAGGTAGCAGGAAAATGAGGTTGCTTTAGGACAGGGTTGGCTACCCTTTGGGTGCCCCCCCCCAATGTTGCTGGACTGCAACGTCCAGCAAGGGGCACAGCAACTTGGACAAGGCTGTCTCTGACATTCACAGTGGAAAGAGATCCTTCCTGCTAAAGTTTGACTTGAAACATTCTGCCCCATTCTACAGGCAGCTGAGGCTGTCAAGAGCCGTAGGCTATGGGAGACTGCTCCATACCAATTACCTGGCCTTCTCACAAGAGGATATTGCCAGTTTCAGACTTCTGCCCTTCTGAACACCAAGACCCTTTGCATCAATTAACCTTGGGTTTTCTACTTCTATTCAAATTGGCATTGCTACAGCAAATAAAGCCACTTTAGAGAAGTTAAGACTTACTGGGCATAGAAGAGAAACTCTTAAGCTGGTTGTTGCTATTTCACTGTCAGGATCTGCAGTTAGTTTCTCTTTGACTGTCAATGAAAGAAGAAATGGGGGTGGGGAGAGGAACAAAAGAACTATTAAAAGAACCATCAGGCACATTGGTTGAAAAGGCTGGAAAGATCAGCAGCACAGGAATCCTAACTGGAGAAACCATCACTTGCTGTAGGTGGAGTTAGGAATTTCTGCCACCTTAGAAGCCCCAAGATCAGCTGGCAAGACACCAGGCACTGACCTTTCACCCATGGGATACTGAAGGTGGGAAAGGGAGAGAAAGTCATGGAGGCAGAAACGGTCCTAGACTGAGACCAACTAATGAGCAAAAGAAGAGAAAGGTCTGGAATAAACACCAACCCAGAAAGAACTATAAAGCATCTTGTGGCACCTAAGAGACTAGTAAATTCATTATGACTTAAGTTTTTGTGGACCAGAGTCCACTTCACTGGCTGCATAAAGGGTAATCCTAAATCCAGCACACACACTCATTCACTTCCAAGATTCAGCAACCCCAAAAAAAACAACATGCAGACCAGCCCACTCCAGTTCAGGAGGCTTTATATTCTGAGGTTTTTTTCTTTGCAAAGGAAACTTAAGAGCTGGGCTGCACAGAAACTGTGGACCCCAGATGCGGCAGAATTATCAGAGCATGGAGAGAACCTTCATTCTGGGCTCCTTGAACATTTCAAGCCCTCATCACAAACAGCAGCATTAACTGCATGAGGAATAGCTATCACTGTGTCCATCTATCTGGACATTTATATTAGGAATATGCATGAAGTGGACATACTTAGTGCTCTAGAATGATCAGGATTCCTGATGCCTTTCGCTCGTAACCTCTGCAACAGGACTGTAGACGACAGTTGCTTGACAAGGTAGACCGCCATAGAATAATTCTGAATAGAAAAAAAGCAAGAATAAATGAGAATCAGCTTGGCCAGTGAGGATGTATCTTATTTTAACATGTCCAAATCCCACCCACCCACCTGTGTTTTTCCAGCCCTCAGGAATCAGAAGCAAAATTCATTGGCAACGTGTGCAACACAACTCTCATTTATGTCTACACAGTTCCAGCAGTGAAAAAAATGGACCTTGTGCGAAGAATCAGGATAAGAGTAGGCATGCCCTGCATGAAGCCTTTTACCTTATCAACTCACAGTTGGCAGTGAATTTGGAACAAGAGAACACCAAAAAAAAGTCTGTCCAAATGAGACTTACTATCGCCCAATGATAATAATATTGCAATGACTAACTCAACAATTGTGGCCATTAGGGAAACTCAGCATGTTCCCCTTCCCCACTCCAAAATCTACCAACTGATCGCAGTTTGGCAGGCAGGCAGAACAATGGCATACTGAAGTCTTTGGAGGAGACATAAAGGCATAAGGTGTAAGTACAGTTACAAGCATATCACAAATGTAAAAGAAGCTTTAAAAATACTAACCATAAGCATGTATTACTCCTACAATATATTCCTATAAAAACACTTTGTAAAAAAAAACAACCAATCAAGGGCAAAACAAGCCCATTTTCTCTAATAACATTTAAAACATAATGTTCTTTTATATTTTAAAATGTGCTTAAGAAAGATATTCTTGTACCAGCAGATGCAACACTAACATTGAATAATGTAAAAACTGTGGTTTACAAACAGCTTCAAAATGTATTGGCACTGATAGCAAAGTTAATTTAAACATATCTTCAAAGTCAATGCGGGGGAATTAAAAAGTAAATCTGTTACATCAGAAACAAAGTAATAAATTCCTGCTTGGCAGGGGGTTGGACTCGATGGCCCTTGCGGTCTATTCCAACTCTATGATTCTATGAAATAGATTTACTCCAAATGCAAGCCTGCTAGCACTGTCTTACAGAATTCCTATGCTGTAAATAGTGACTATATGGAAAATGATTTGTAACTTCAAAGAAGAAATTGGCAGTTTCATTTATTTATTATCTATATCTGCCATTCTTTTTGGCATAAACATCTAAAAATAATTTGGCTACTCTCAGAATACAACAGAAGCGAAAAATAAAATTATCTATTCAGCTAATCCAAATATAATAAGCAGATGGTACAGAAACATCCACTTCCAAAGTAGAAAAACCTATATACATCACCACCATTTAACAGTTTCAATGAATAGATTGTCAGGTGAATGAATCAATTTCTCTTCGAATTCACCCATATAAAATTAGCCAATTCTGAAGGCATGGACATCACAGTACTCTTAGTTTGCCAATTACATTTTCCAGAAAACAGAAAAACCTGATTCTTCAAGAGACTTGGCTATTGAGGCAAGATGGTATGTTAGTGGGTTCCTATCATCACTCCTTCTGTTCAAGATGTTGGTTGTGATGACATTCCATTAAAGGAGGCGTTGAATTTTTAGTGATGCAGTCAAAAAGTTTATTTACTTTTAAAGCTTGCCCCAATAAAGACAGCTGAAGATGCTGATTTCTTATCAAAATATGTGTGCACCTTACTGGCTTTCCCACTTTCCTGTTGTTGGTGTGCTCCTCCTCCCTCCGTGTATGCTATGAAAGTTTGACCAATAGCGCATTGCTCTGTGTAGCAGAAATTACTTTTAAGAACTCCAAACAAGCTGTCTGCTAGAGACATTAGAGCTAAATCTCCTGCTGCCTTGCCTGAAAGCCTCAAAACGAGTTGAAAGCAGAGGAGGGTGGTAGTGGTTAATTTTAAAAAATTAACCTGGGGACTCAGGGCTGCCTAGAAGCCACATCCTCTGATCTAAAAGCCTTATTCTCCTGAGCTCAAATCTCTCAAGGCAAGGGTCTTTAGAAGCACAAAGGATCCTGCTGGAATCTGAATCCAATTCTGTCCAGCTTCCATAATTGTAGATACCACTGCTTTTTTAAAAAAAAGAAGTGCCAGATATAACAAACTCATACCTTTCTTTATTAAGCATTGCTTAGTATGTTATTAAAAACGTTTCCCCCATCAAACTTGTAGAGGGCTACATGTTTATTTAATGCTTCAATTAGGGCAAAAGACAAGAGCTGCTAATTAAAAGCATTATTTACTGACAGCTTGAATCTACAGAGCGTGGAACTTGCCCACAGCAAGTTTTGATGGAAATTTTGGGGGGGTGGGGAAGAGAAGTCACATGGCATAGAAGCTGGAACAAGGTTATTATGCCTTTACCTGAATTACGTTGATCCAGACTGGAAATCTGTGTTTGAAAGTCCCAGATGGTATTGCAAATACTAACACCCACTACTATGAGACCTTGTAGAATTAATTACAAGTTCCAGAAGGTAATCATGTTTGAGTCTTGTGGCTACCAGACTGAATGTGCCATGCAGCTCTATGACCCTTTAATTTATGTGGGGGCTTTAAAAGTTAACTGCATGGAGTCAAGCAATGGCATTGGGATTGCTTCTTTTGCTTACAGTAAGTCTTTGGAAATCCAAAACTGACATCCTTTCTCCATCTCCTTATCTAAGCTTTCTGTTTCTCAGTCAAGGACCTACAAAGCCTTATGTGGCTCAGACCCATTACTTCAAGGACTGCCTCTCCCCATGTGAACCAACCTGGAACCTGCAATCGACATCTGAGGCCCTTTTCCATGGACTTCCATGGGAGGTGCAGAGGGTGACAACAAAATAATGGGCCTTTTCAGTGGTGGCTCCTAATCTGTGGAATGCTCTCTGCAGGGAAGTTCGTCTGGTGTCATCGCTGAATATTTTCAGGCACCAGGCAGAAACATTTCATTTTAACCAGATCTTTGACTTTTAACTGTACATGGCCTTTTAGAATGCACGGGGCGTTTTAATGGTTTTTCTACCCTGCTTTTAATTTATGTATCTTTTTTCGTAAACAACTAACAAATTTAATAAATAAATAAAACTGTCTATATTCCATATCCCTCTTACATGTCTACATACAGTCCATTCAGGTTCCCTACTCAAATGTAGCAAGGTAAACTACAATATAGTCAGTACATAAAAGCATAAGAAACTACAGAAAGATTTCCACAAAGGCATTAAATCTTGCCAGTACTAGTCAAATTCCATGAATTTCTACAGATGCATACAGCCCCAGCCCCAGCCCAGCCCCGCACCCAACCTTCTGATAGCCAACTGTAACTCACTCTTCCTATTTCTGCAGTCCATGAGACGACGATTGTGTTTGGTACTGTCGTGGACAGCCGCACAAGTGAGGTGATGTTGATTGGTCTGCTAGGTCGCTTTGGTTCAACCCCATTTTTGGTTGGTGGAAGATAGCCCTGAAACAACACACACACGCATCACCATGAATATGCAAAGCATCTCTCTTTTGCCACCTTGTTTGACCTTGAATGACTTTCCAGAAGTCAGTCATACCCCTTTTATTGATAGGGAACTGAGGTTGAGACGCAGGCACCTGATACCCAATGACCAGTGCCTCCCCTTACTCACTGCCTTCCACCTCTTAATGAATGGGAAACAACATCCAGCCCCCGATATCCTCCTATATCCTCTCAGGAGGAGGAGCGAACTGGGCAGGAAGTACAGAGTAAAACGATTCCAGAGTCCCTCTCAGGATCTCCCACTCCTGCTCTCTTTAAATTTCCCTAGACCCCAGACTATACGTGAGTGAGGGTGTAAATGGCAAATGGCAATGAAATATTGATAAGTGGGAGTCACAGAAGAGCTCATTTGCTTTTCTTGTATGTCACTTGTTGAATCTTTCAATACAAGACTTCGGTAGCATTGCCTTGAATTATCTGGTGCAATTCAAGACGCCACTATTCAGTTCAATATCCCCCAAACAATTTCTTTCTCCCCCCCCCCCCAAGAAAGCATCTTTAACTATTGGCCAAATTTCTGAGGATACTCACAGGAAGGCTACATGGTTTTCCATTAACTTTCACGCAAAGATTTGGTGGGAAGTGATCTTCCTGTGGGCAGCTGGTCTCAGATAAGCAAAACCTAAAGACAAGACAGTGAGCTCAGGGACATTTTATATTAAATTCTATAAAGGGTCTGTAAATACTACAAGTGACATGGGGAAATATCATTATCTGTGAGTCAGTGTCCCATAGTGCTTTGAAGCAGCCTTCACTAATCCGATGCCCTCCAGATAGTTTTGACAACAAATACCATCAGCCCAGGCCAGACAGCTATGCTTCCAGCAGCTCTATCACTGTACAGTAAGCCCACAATTTCTCACTTTACATACACATTCACAACTTTATGTGAGTCAATATGGTGGCCTAGATCCCACTCTAGGGGAAAAAAACAATTAGGTAAGCTAAGAAAATCTACATACATCTTATTTTGCATCCAATTACCAAGTGTGTAAGGTATAATCTGAATTAAATATTTCAGACTTTGAAACTTGGGGGCCTCAAAAGTTAATAAATCAGACAGGCTACAGACTTCTACTAGAAGAGAAGACTGGGGGCCCCAGAGGGGAGCACAAAAGCTTCATTCTCTGAATGACAGGTGTTTCTGAAAAGACACACTCTTATCCGCGTATGGAGGCTTCCACAGATTGTGTGGAGCAGTCCCCATCCCAAGAAAAAAATGGGGAAACACCTGTTGTATGCACATCAGAGCGCCATGTCCTCTAGTTCAATCATTGGATGACCTAAAAAGGTATCGCCACCATTGGGAAGAGGATTTGCTTAAGGCCCCCAACCAAATTTTATTTATGTCATTTGTATGCCATCTCATATCATAAAACCTCTCTGGATGGTGCACCCAACTAAACTACAGAGTAAAACAGAAAGCCGTTAAAAAGTATTTCTGAGCCATCCCCTAGATTCCACCATGGATCCTGCATGTAACCCCTGTGGTTAAGGGCTCGTGTCGCAGGCAGCCTGTCACAGGCTTCTTCCACCTAACGTAGTCCTATGAAAGCTGCTTACAACCAATGGCGATATTCCTTCCTATTGTTCCCTCTCCCACCTCCACAGCTGCCGCGGCTGCAGCTCTCTCTAATTACTGCTGGCGCAAACAGTCAAGATTCTAGAGCTTCAGTTCAGCCACACTCCAATTCCATTCATCTTCCTGATATCAGTGCTTGCTGCACGAGCTAGATTCTCCTCTGTGGGTCTGCAGGCACCTCCCTATCCAAGATGCTGACAAAAGAAAGATCAGACCTCAAGAGGCAGAGGGCTGAATTCAGAGGAAGAGGCTGCTACAACCCTTTCACAAACACCACTAAACAGAATGAATGAAATTACATGCCCTGAGCAGACTCAATTACCGTATTTTTTGCACCATAACACTCACTTTTTTCCTCCTAGAAAGTAAGGGGAAATGTCTGTGCGTGTTATGGAGGGAATACCTACGGGTGGCATGCCTACGGATTTTCCTCCTCTAAAAACTACGTGCGTGTTATGGTCGGGTGCGTGTTATAGAGCGAAAAATACAGTTTACCCCACATTAATAAATCAACAGCTAGCAAATTGGGGGATGGAAAGAGGGTGAAGTTTAGATTCTCCCCATCACCTGCCTTTAGTTCAATCTGAAACTGAGACATGGATTTAAAAGGCTAATGTTTGCACATGAAGGTGTTAAGCAGAAAGCACAGTAGCAGTGAACAATCTTTCCCTGTCTCTGTCTTTCTTGAATCCATTGAACACAGATCCTGTTTCAGGGTGGAAAGAGGGAAGAGGAGTTGTGGGGCCACAAGTGAATCAGGGGCTAGTAAAGTGAGAAGTGTGTCAGATGCAATTAAGACACACGGATATCAAGAGGCACAGCTACTAGCACAGAGCATCATTCTGGGGCTTTAGGTCTCATTGATTTAGAAATGGCCACTGGGCTGCATCAAGCACTCTCAACCACAACATATACAGCCTCTCCCCTGAAGGTGTGTGTGTGCACACGCGCACACACCCACACCCACCCACCCACACCAAGGTGCAAGTCCTCCTCTGGCAGATAATGACAGAATTAATCAAAGCAGCAGCCAATTCTTCTGCCACAGGCAAGTAAAAGCAACATAGGAAGTAATGAGGAGCTGCTGCTTCTCTGTTTACCAATATTACTGGGAAGGGGGGGTGCATGGAGCTTACAGTGCATAGAGTTATTGTGCTTCTTTATTATTGGAAACAGAGTAATAATTATTATTATTATTATTATTATACCACCCTATACCCAGAAGTCTCAGGGCAAATAAAATTTATGTAAAATAAGCATGATCATATATGCAAATCTCAACCATCCTTGGTAGAGAATTTAAGGGGGGGGCAAAGTCCACCAAAATAAAGACTGAATTGCAGGGAAACAATACCTTAGCTGGACCTGCACAGTGAAGTCACATTTGGTTCCAGAAATATCCCTAGCAAAGACATTAGACATCGGTTAAAGACTGTTCATTACAATAAAGATCTGAGTATTTAAAGGTCTGAAAAGTTAAACATGCCACTCACAGTCTATGCTGAGTCACTGACCAGAACTGGACTTATTTGCCAGGATCATACCTTACTGTCCACACACACACACACACACACACACACACCCAACCTTTGCAGGATGCTAGAGCAAATGAACCTTTGATCTGATCCAGTAGCTCATGGGAAATTGACCTCTGCAGTGCTTCCTGTAACTTGTATCACTTTGCCCAATTATACAAACAGAACACATAATAGCAATTTTATAAAGACAGCTTTGGGCCAGCACTCATTAAACGACTCAGGCAATGGACTGTAATGGGCTTTCATATGCTGCTTTGGGAAACAGGCCTACGCTTCAACACACTCAAAAAGCCTGGGATCCATCTAGGGAGGCTCACCAGGCAAGCTCTTTTATTTTCCTGAGCCTTTTAATCCAACCTGTTGTAATTCTACTGATTGCTCTGACACTCCTTGCTTGCTTGCTTGCTTGCTTGCTTGCTTGCTTGCTTACTTACTTACCTATTTTCTTACATTTTATATCCAGCCTTTCTTCTGACATGGAATCCAAGGGAGCAAAGTTGCGGCTCCCAAGTAGTCTCCAATCCAGGCACTGACCAGACCTGGAACTGCTCAGCTGCAGCCAGGTGGTGGCCTCATGTGCCTTCAGACTATACCATGGGACCAGTGGGTCATTGTGTTGCATGATTAACAGTTCTTCTTGCAATTTTGGTTTGTTGAAAGGGAGGGTATAAACCCCTAAAACATGTAAATAAATAAAAATATGTCCTTGCTCCCATGACCCACACTCCATCTCCAAATCCCTCCTGATTACTCATACAGAAAAACTCTTTTCCAAATTACCGTAGCTCTCCCTTGCACTTCTACTCTAACCACTCTCTTTTAGCTCACTTTCGGTTATTAAATTCCAAACTCTGTCTTGTTTTTCAATCTTACAGTTACGCGCGCACACACACACACACACGCACACACACTCTAAAATGGTTTATGCATTTCAGAATTCAGATGCACAGGACTAAAAGGTGTCAAAAGATCACTACCACTTACATGGAACTGCTGATCTGCTGCACTTGCTGTGGAGTCAGGGCAAATGCAAAGCAGGTTTCCCGAAACCGCTGGCTATTATCGGATGCTATGGGAAAATAAGAGGAGATTTGAGTGGGCAAGAGGAAGGATCACTCTACTCATCCATTTTGGAAAATACAGACACCCCACCCACTCCTGAGAAGCCATGAACACAGCCTTCCCCAAGCTGGTGTTGTTGAAATAAAACTCCCATCAGCTCCACCTAACATGGCCAATGGTCAGGGATGATATGAGTTGTAGTCCAACATCTTCTGGAGGGCACCAGGTTGGAGAAGGCCAATTTAATGCCAGGCCCATGTTTCATCTATAATCAGAAAGAAGATCCACAACCTCACATATATTCTAGAGTTGGATACTTCTCCCAATAATGCACCCTTACCTTCTCCCCTGATCAACTTGAATATTTTTTCAATGCTTCCGAAAGAGAAATACGGTCAAACCTTGGTTCCCAAATGTCTTAGTTACCGAACAAATAGGCTCCCGAACGCTGCAAACCTGGATGTAAGTGTTCTGGTTTGTGAATGTTTTTTGGAAGCCGAACATCCAACGCGGCTTTTGCTTGAGTGCAGGAAGCTCCTGCAGCCAATCAGAAGCCACGCCTTGATTTTCAAACCATTTCAGGAGTCGAACAGACTCCAGGAACAAATTAAGTTCAAGAACCAAGTACCTACTAGAAAAAAAAGAACTGCTATGAAATATATACACTTTTGGAATGAATGGAATGCTCATAAGACAAGGTTTTCCTCACTACAAATGTGTAGTACATAAGCCTTTGTGCAAAGCAATCTACAGCAGGGTGGCTAACCTTCAGATGTGGTTGGACTCCAGTTCCCATTTTCTCTGGCCACTGCCCATGCTGGCTGGGACCAATGGGAGCTAGGAGGCTAAAAATATCTGGAGTGCCACAGGTTTCCCCACTCATGTTAATTCCTGTGTAGACACTATGGTAAAGACATACACAACATCCAAATGTTTTCAATGTTGCTATAAAGTGTAACATACAATATTAAGGATTAGCAGAGATTTGGTGACTTGCTATACAAAACAGTTTCAGCCCCAATAATATCCTTACTGTACTTTATTACCAACTTTGTGGTTTCTATTTTCCACTAATGCAAGCACTTAAGTAGCATAGGACAGAGAATCTGCACCCATCTCTCTAGCTAGCATTGGATATATTCCCCACCTTGCTTGTACAAATATGCATGGGTTTACAAATTTCATAAATATATCAAATAGTAAAATCTGGTACATCAGTGGTAGCCAACAAAATACGGTGGTGCCCCGCAAGACGAATGCCTCGCAAGACGGAAAACCCGCTAGACAAAAGGGTTTTCCGTTTTTGAGTTGCTTCGCAAGACGAATTTCCCTATGGGCTTGCTTCGCAAGACGAAACGTCTTGCTAGTCTTGCGATTTTTTTTCCCGCTCCCCCCCCCTTTTTCTAAGCCGCTAAGCCACTAATAGCCTTTTAGCAGCTAAGCCACTAAGCCTTTAATAGCCGCTAAACCGCTAATAGCGCTAATCTGCTAATAGGGTTGCTTCGCAAGACGAAAAAACCGCTAAACGAAGAGAATCGCGGAACGGATTCTTTTCGTCTTGCGAGGCACCACTGTACCGTAGTTGTGCTGGTGTAAGCTACAGTAACAGTATATCCCCACTCTCCTTCTCCCCTGTGCATCCTGTGTCAGGGGAGAAGGAAAAATCATTGTGCTGTTGGAAACATGTTGCTTAGTGCTACGCTGAATAAAACAATAAAGCAAGTTTAGCTTTGACAGGAGACTATGTATTCTCTATATATTTCAGGCTTTCCTCCCTGCCCCCACCCACACCCTGCCAATCTCCATAGTGTCAATATTTATTGAAATCTTAGATTTATATGTAGGCCTTAACCATGCAATTTGATACAGAACTTAAAAACAGTGGTCCTAAGAACCAAAGAGGTAAGCCTTAAGAGTAGCCAACACAATAAATTTTCAGACGCTTCCGGTCTCTTTCTGAAATATCAGAATAGCTTATTATTCCACTATAGATGTCATCAGGGAATTGCTGAATAGACTTTAGCATTTTTCAAATGACTAGTTTCTTAAACTGCATTTCTTCCCACTAAAAACACTGACACCTGTAACATGGTAAATCATTTCAATGTATCTATTCACTGAGTAATTCACAGAGCAAAAGCATATCAACTCATTCACAATGAATTACTCTGCTTCCAAAATACCTAGGTCTTTTGATTCTGTGAGGCTTTTAGTATATACATCTGTTCAAACAAGTGCTTGCAGCACAAGGCAATGAAGAATTAGCTCAACAAAAAAGGGACTATGTTTCATCAAATAACAGGGTAATTTAATTAAAATACCAAAAAACAGAAAACAAAAAAGCATCCTGGGAAAAGCTAGACATTCATTTTCCATTTCTCAGTTGGCTTCAATGAAGGATGCAACACTGCAGTGACTAAATAAGTTTCCTTCCAAGCTGGGAATTTTTTTAACAACCACCACGATGTATTACAACCTGCGACCCCAAAGTCAGAGCCTACCACTACACCGGCATATTTTGTGTGACAGCAGATTTGGCAACACTGGGCTGGAAAGCTGCACCATTTAAAGGAACTGAAAGCAAAAATAATCTTCCTGATTGTAAGTGGGAACTGAGAGTGAGCCAAATATATCACTAACAATATATTATTCATCAAGATGGAAGCTAGCCAGAACTCTAAAACCAAAACCATCTCCCCTGGGGAAATGGCTGAGGAGTCCTTTTTATTGGGGGGGGGGAAGGATTATGGCTCAGTTATTGCTTATTCTTTAACACTGCAGACTATTCTGGGGTCCTGGCTTATTTTACAGTACTAAAATGCAGAATTTCTTTTAATATAAAGTATTTAATTGAGGAGAAAGATAAAAGTTTCCATCATCTATTTTCATTTAGTGAGTACATCAGCCTTATCCAACATGGTGTATTCCGGATGTGCTGGAGGATTCCTACTCCCATCAGCCCCAGTCACCATGACTGTGCCAGCTGGGATATTTTGGAATACAACACATCTGGAGGGACACAAAGCTGGGAAAGGCTGACGTACTTTGCATCTCATTCTTCCCCTCAGGAGCTTGACAGCAACACATGGGTGATTCTCCCTAGATCATACAACTACCATGCAAAGTATATCAGGCCACAAGAGCCCAAGCAGATCCATGGCTGAATGGACAAATGCAAGTCCAACACTATATCCACAACATCACACTGCCTGGCTCTCCTTTTTAGGCACATTAAAAGATATGCATGTGAAACACACACAAAGTGTTTGGCCAAGTGAAGGTGTATGTAAATTGTGTATATTGAAGACTGGGGTTAAGAGATGCAATTAGAGCTGCAGGAGAAAATGTTTCAAATGTGACGGCATGAAAGAAAATTTGTAAAATCTAGTTGCATGCCTCTATTTCCTTCCGCTTAAAAAAAAGAATGTGCTTCTCTCTCCCTTGGTAGTAGCCAGTGGCTAAATATAGCTCCACAATCTTTCTCTTTTAAAATATTTCTTGCCGTGTTGGGAAAAGCTCCCCTCCGATAATCATTCAGAAATGCTCTTCTACTGCCTTTGATGAACACTGTACTATTCAGCCTAGAGCAGGCTGCACCACTCTATTTCAATGGTCATCAGCTCAATTTATTAGCTAAGAACGCCTTCCATCTTCCCTAGCAAATTGGCCATTGCTAAATAATTAAAGAGCTCACTGCGATGACTAAGGATAAAATGCATAGGGAAGTAACTGTCTGATGGGTAGGTTTCATAGTACAATAAACTCCGGCTTATTTAAAATGAGAAAGTTCTATTGCTGAATTGATGCATTACATTTCTCTTTCTGAGAAAGTGATGCAAAAGGAATCTCCTGGAGACAGCACAACATTATAGCAAACATATTAAGGTCCATAAGAGATGCAGTGGCTCAACGGAAGTAGAGTCCTGCAAGAATTCTGACACGTATTGCCAGGGCTTGATGCATCCAGATAATGCACAGCCTATGGCACACCTATAGCAACATCATGGCCATGGACACTTGCTAACTGTGGACTCAACAGGGGCAAGAGAAACTGTTCCCTTTTGTGTGGTTATTTTTGTGTGTGTGTGTTTTCATTTCCATTCATTCCTCCATACCTTCAAATAGCTTCAGCGTGTCATTTTGAGGACAAAGATCCTATATTTAGGTACAGATACTATTCTCTGCCATGGGCCCTTGGAGAAGGGTCGGTGCAACTCCTAAGGGTTCTGCTGAATGAAGCCGGCCATAATTCCCACTAGCAGAATCCAGCATTTGTAAATAAGAGCCATAGAGGCATCAACTCTTAGAACTGGTTGAAAAAAGGTAGTATTCTTGAGGATGACCCACGGCATAGTGGAAGGCAATGTGGGTGGCATAAGGCAGCATGGTTTTGTAAAGACCCCAAAATTTCCACTTGGCTTACTAGCCAGCTCCTATTTGTGCTCATCACCAATTCTCTGCACAGAGAGTCATTGCGAAAATGGAGAAGGCTTGGGAGAGATGTGAGATTTTCCTCAAAAATACCAAAACAGTGTAAGACACTCTTGATGTTTCTCAGCTTCTCCAAATCTCAGAGCAAATGAGATCAGACCCCCACAACCCTTCTCAAGCCCTCTGCACATTCTCAAGGACTGAGGGATAATTGGTGGTGAGAAAAGGCTCATGGAAGAGGCATGGTTTTCTGTCACTTGCGAAAAGCTATAACACCCCAAACAACGCTCGTCTCTTATTCTCTTCATACCATGAGGCATCTGAGAGCCTAATGGAGGCAAGGCACTCAACAAGTGACCTTCATGCTGTTGGATTGGGACACTTGGCCTTGGTAAGCAGATGTGGCCATGCTTGTGGCCATGAATACATTAGACAACATGGTAGCTGCTCTATGCAGAAGACACAAACTGCAGACACCAAGGAAAAACGCACTATTCTACCAAAAACTTATGCTTCTTTGACATGGCATTAATGCCTAAAGCAAGCCTTGTATTGTGGGTACAAACAATGAAAATC